AGCTTTTGTGGATGATGTTCTTGTAGCTTCTGGAAAAAAGGTTCAGAGCAAATTGTTCCTGTGATCAGTTATATCCTTCCTGATTAGAACCGCTCACAAGTGTGGTGCCTATGTAACCAGTGTTTGTGTCTAATCCAAGTGCCTTTCGGAGGCACAGTAAACATGATAGGCTAGGGGTTATCAACCCACTGCAGGCAAAGAGCCAAAATATTTGTGCATATAGCGCAAAGAGCTGAGGGGGGGAAGTTGTTAAGCCCCCCCCAAAAAAAGTTGTTAAGCCCCCCCCAGCCACGTTTGGTTGAGAAGAAAGAAAAAAAAAGGACTGCCTCTTTAAGAAATGTGATTACAGGCTTTTTGACCACATAAGGCGCCTCCTAGCTGCCGCCATCTTGAAAACGTCGGGCAGCTCCCCTGCCCCAGTGAGCACAGAGAGGTGGGGGCTGTTTTCAGGGGTGCAGGGGTTCTTCACGAGCTGCGCTTTGGGGGGAGGGAGAGAGCCACATGTGGCTCACGAGTCGTGGTTTGGCCATGGCTGTGATAGACCATTTGAATGGAAGTGTTTCCGTACATAGTTAGCCAAGAGATTCTTCCAGAAATTGTGTCTCTGTTAAACATTGATCTTTCTCTCACAATTCTGTTGATTTGTAGATCTTGAGTGTTTTCTCCTTTCTAAGTGGAATGTGACTGGTACATCAGACAACACAGTAGGTGGGAAGTGTGGTGTTAGCAACAAAAGCTTAAATGACTATCCCAGGCCCTTCTGACAGTCTGATTTAAAACATGTTAAATCATTTGGGACCTACACATTTAGGTTGCATTTCTGTGTATTTGCACTGAACATATTGCCTATAGCCACATGTGCCTGTTTGGCCGGATGAGTGTGACTAGTTCAGAACTGGTTGGACACTATGGGCGTAGAGATATTCCAAGTTTGTTTAAACTGTGGTTAGGTGATATTTTTCTTAGATGCCTAGGCAGGTTGTGGAATCTCCATCACTGGAGATGTTTAAGAGCAGGTTAGACAGACACCTGTCAGGGATGTTCTAGACGGTGTTTGGCCTTCCTGGGAAGCCAGGGGATTGGACATGATGACCTCTTGAGGTCCCTTCCAGTTATGGTGTTCTTGATTCTATGATTTGTCTGTGTCTACTGTCTTATTGTCATGCTATTTCCACCGTAGGTTCTGCTGCCTGTCATTGTTTGTGGAAGGAATTTATCCATCTTTGGAAGCCCAACAGACAGGGAAAGATGTGGGGAGACCCCCGGCCGGCCAACAGAATGGGCCCTTTTCGGTAAGGATTTGGAGTTTGTACTTTAAGGTTGTTCTTACATGAAATGTTCATAGCAGTAGGGGTTATATAGGGTTCCCTTCTCTTTGCTGTTTGCCATTACTTACTGCACATCTTGCTATTGTGAAACTATATTTTTGTGTGAGCTGTATGACCACTGTAGAGCTACTCTCAGTGACTCTCACCGCCCGTTTTCTAGCCACTCATAACGGGAGCCCTGCAAACCCATGGCTGTCTGCCTTGTATCTAAGAGTATCTGCATCCACGGATGAGAATGCCGATATCCGCAGTGGCTCGCTGTGGGCAGGTGGCAGCTCCAGCCCCATAGGACGTGCCACGGACGGGTGTGCTTCAACCCGCCTTCCTCTTCCCCCCGTTTAATCAGTTAACTGCTTAAACTTAACCTTTATCTGGTTAACCAATGAAACGGGATTTTACAGGACCATTTACCTTGTCCTTGTTAACTTGCTTCCTGGTGTCCCTCTGCCTGAATCTGCGGAATGTACTTCCTCACAAGAGAAATGTATCCCACAGGCTGCTGAGGTAATGGGGATATTTCTGCTGTTTGAGTCAGTTACAGGTAGATCACCAAGAAATCATTTCTACCCTTACATGCTTTTATATACGAATAACTGCCTGGTTTTATTTTACCCCCAAACAAGTACAGTTCAGGCTAGTTCTGGATGAGTGTGCTTTACAGTGGTTTTATTTTACCCCCAAACAAGTACTGTTCAGGCTAGTTCTGGATGAGTGTGGTTTTTTTCCAGTTAAAAATTAACCAAGATCACTCTTTCATAAGTTGGGGGAATTTTTTCCCCCTTGGCTCAAGTTACAATCATTGTTGTGTATGATTGCTTTCATAGGCGACTTGAGTAAATTCAGATGTCCTCTCTCAGGTCCGTGGGGGAGGTTCTGTCACTGTGAACTGTAAGGTGAACTCCATTTGCTAGGGTTGCCAAAGAGGAGATGTCTGCTGCTTTATCAGGGCTTGGGAATGTTCTTTAAAGAGTCTTGCTCTTTCTGCTCCCCCCCCCTCCCCAGTTTCTTAAAAATGTAGGTTAGTCAGACTTGGCTAAAATGAGGCCGATTGCTCTATCCCCATGAAGCCTGTTGGTTGTGAAGCTACGGCTTGGCTTTAGCACCATAAATTAGGCACCATTGCTGGGAAACGCGTTTGATGCCACCAGCAAGTGCCATAGTTTTGAACACTTGACCTGCTCCTAGGAACCTCTGAGCTCTCCCAAACTTTCACTGACCTGAGTGTGACTGAGGGGTGCTCAGCATCATGCAGTGTCATCTCTGCTGCTGCATAGCATACTGATGGAGAGGGCTAGGGAACCTCCATCTCCGACAATTTAGTCAGTTAGCCACTCGTAACAGTGCTAAGGGAACCAAAGCAAAACCGGATCCCTGTAGCTTGGGGCTAGTGATGCTTAGCCTCACCCGAGCTCCCCAGCTGTGTCATGCAGGGCCATGTGGATTGCTACCATCATTAACCCATTGATATTGCAGGTTTTCCTTGGTGAGTGCTTCTGGGAATTGTGGTGGAATGGGAGCACGCACGTTTGCTTTTTCACACCTGTCGTATGCTGCCTCAGCTCACTACCAAACACCAGTGCCTTCTGTGGCTCTTAGAGAAGAGTGTGCTTCTGTGTAGACTGCAGACTCTAAGCACTTATGAATAACACTGTCTTTATTTCTACAGTGGGAGCCAAGAAGAAAGGTTTGCTCCTGGGTGGAACAGGGAATACCCTCCTTCCCTTGATAATCTTGCTCAAGAAAGACACTCTGGCAACTTCTCTGGCAGAGAATCGCTTCCTTTTGATATCTCAGGCCTCCTCAACCCTCAGTTTGCCAACAGAGAGGAAGCGTCTTTCACCTATGGAGCTAGAGACGGACCACGGAGTGATTTCAGAGGTGGGGAGGGTCATCATGATTTCAGGGGCAGAGACTTCCCGCCTTCTGACTTTCAGAACAGAGATGATTCACAGTTGGACTTCAGGGGCCGGGAACCCCCCTCCTCAGAGTTTAGGGGCCGGGAGATGTACTCTGGAGATTTCCAAGATCGGGAGGGACCGTCTATGGACTTCCGGGGTGGGGATGCGCCTTCGATGGATTATAGAAATAGGGAGGCAAATCGTATCGGCTACCGGGACAGGGAAGCGCATACCATGGATTATAGAGGCAGAGAGGACCCCCCACCAGATTTCAGGAGTAGGGGCTCATTTGATCTAGACTTTAGAGGCAGAGAGGGAGCCCATTCAGACTTCAGGCCGAGGGACGTGCCCGAGTCACACTATAGGGGCAGGGAGCATTCCTATTCGGATTTTAGAAACAGGGATGTACCTGATTTGGACTTCAGGGGCATGAATACCTCTGATCTGGACTTTAGGAACAGGCAAACTCCACCTTCCGATTTCAGAAATCGACACAAGCCTCGCTCCGATCAGGATTTTAGGGGCAGAGACATGGCTGCTTCTGTGGACTTCACAGACAGGGAGATGCCCCCTGTGGATCAGAATCTTGTAGATTTCAGGCGCACTCAGTCTACTGCTCCTTCAGCAGACAGCGAGCGACCTGCCTTAAGCACCACGAGAGAAGAGTCTGCACTAGACAGATCTCCCTTTGGCGTCCAGAAAGGAGAGTTTCAGCATTCAGAGCCGAGAGCCAGAGAAGGAGAGTCCCTTGGAGTGGGTCTTGAAATGAAGTCTTCGCTAGATTTCCAGAATAGCCGTGGGCCTCTTCAAGACCGAGATGAGCCGCCGCAGAGCTTTGCAAACCAGCAGCAGCTTTCTGGCACTGAACATCAAAGATCAGATCCTAGTCTTATGTTAAAGGGGGAAGGTGGCCTGGATTTCCTCGGCAGACAAGATACTGATTACAGAAGCATTGAGTACAGAGATGTAGATCACCGGCTACCGGGCGGTCGGCTGTTTGATTATGAGCACGGCAAATCCTTCACAGAAGGAAAACCCAGCAGAGAACCTAGGCAGGATCTTCAGGTATGTGGTTTTGTAAAAACTTGGAGTGAGCCAAAGTGTGAGGGAAAAAGGGGGACAGGGCAGTGAAGGATATTTCCATCCATATCCTAGGGGAAGCACTCCTAGCCCGATGTACCTACCTTCCCCAAATGCCTCCTCCTCTAATTTTTTACCTTGCTCATTCCCTCTCCACCACCTGTGTAACTTAAGTCCAAGTTAACACAGAAATAAGTAATTCCAGCTACTTTTTAAACATTCCAAATCTCTCCTGCTTTTGGGAACATAACAAAACTGTATGTGAGTTTGTTTCACTTTTCTTTAAAATATTTTGGAGCTCATGATTTTTCCAGGACTTGGGTCTCCTCTTAGCAGTGACCGAGAGCTGCTCTGAATAATGCAGCAAGTAGGCAAGTGCTTACTGGGAATAGACTGAAATGACTAAATTTGTTTATGGAATCCAAGTGCATTTGAAACAGCTCCAAGCTTGAACGGTCACAACCAGCTAACCCAGCTGCCCATCCCTAAAACATTCTGTGACTGGGAACGGTTGCTGGAGCCATGCTGTTTATGAATTGTGCCCTGATTTATTTTGTTACTGTTTTGTGTCTTGTGGACGAGTGTGTCTCCATTGTAAAATAATCTTGATTCTGAACTCAAGGACCAAGATTACAGGACCTGCCCCAAAGATGTGAAACCCAGCAAGCTCATTCGGCTAGGAGGAGTGCCGGAAACTGCCACAAAAGATGATGTAAGTGTGCGTGTGGGGGTGGGTGGTTGTGTGTTTGACCTCACCAAAGTTTATCAACATTTATAGCAAAAGAATGTAACATCCCAAATGTCCTGAGCAGGTCCCAGTGTGGTCTGAAGAACTAGCGAGATTTGTAATCAGGGAAGAAGAGCAAGATTTCTTTTTTAAACAAAAAATATAAGTAATTGCCCATTGAAAATGCATTTCAGGCCTTCTGTGTGCAAGAGATGGGCAGGGTGCTGTGACACCAGCTCGTGAGTAATTGCCCATTGAAAATGCATTTCAGGCCTTCTGTGCGCAAGAGATGGGCAGGGTGCTTGTGACACCAGCTCGTGATTTTTTTTTTCCACATGGAAATCCAAGGTGATCAGTGTTACGTTTGACTGGGGTGGAGACTTCTGCTGCAAGTGATGTAGAAGTGATGTTCTTGTGCTCTCATTGGTGGGGGAATGAAGCTCGTGTCACCTTAGCCTGGCTGGTGGGACTGAGCCTTTTCACTTGCTTTATATTCCTATATTACCTCCTCTGCATCTATCGGGGAAGCACGGAAACAGTATCTTACGGAGACCAGAAAGACTTCTCCTGCTCCACTACAGAAAGCCCACACTGATTGCTAGCCTTTCTTGGGGGAGGGGGGGGAGTTATTTCCCCGGAGCTGCAGTAGGCAGCCCCAGGGCTTATCCCCTGACAGTTCCAGACAGTGGCTTGTCGCAGTGTTGCGCTCTTAGGTAGAGCGGTAGTTCAGCAGCGATCAGACTTCTTGGGAATTGTGCCTGAGAACTCACGTAAGGAACTCGCTGCCGTGAGATAGCGGGGCGTTCGAGGAAGTAAAGGCTTGACCAACCTCAAAGGTGACTAGCAGCCATTGGTTGTAGTGGTAATTAATGTCCAGAGAAAAGACACGACTCAGTAAGAAGCAAAGCTTGTGACTGGAGAGGTGGTGAGAAGACTATGGGAGAATGTGCCACTTCATAATGGAGTTGGGAATCCAAAAGCAACAGAAGTCTTTGGAGCATGTTGGAGAGGAAGTGGGGTAGAGGAAAAGCAGCGTTGGTCCGCTGTGGGCTTTGGAACTGATGTGGACTCTCGGCTTGCCTCTCCAGATTCTCAACGCTTTCCGAGGGCCCGATGGGACACCTGTGAAAGACTTGCGCCTAAAAGATTATAGCTCAGGTGAGAACTTTTTTCAGTGCTTCTGGTCTCTGGGGTGGGGCTATCAAAGGGCTTTTCTCAGGCTGGTGCTGTACTCATGGGTAGTATGGACTGAAAATGCCTATTGAGTCATCTAGTTCAGAGGCTCTCAAACATCATTGCACTGCGATCCCTGTCTGACAACAGCCCTAGAGGGGGACCAGAACTGGAGCCCACCTGAGCCCTGCCACCGCAGGTGGGGGGAGAGGGGGGCAGCGGCAGCGCTGAAGCTTGAGCTCTGCCACCTCAGGAAAGGGCGGAGGGGACCAAGACCAAAATCCAAGGGCTTCAACCCCAGATGAGGGGCCTGTACCATGAGCCCTGCTGCCCAAGCCTAATACCCTTGGGCTTCAGCCCTGGGCATTAGCAAGCTTAATTCCAGCCCTGGCAACCCCACTAAAATGGTCACAATCTACTTTGGGGTCCGGCCCCACAATTTGAGAACTGCTGATCTAGTCTCTTGCTGCCTTCAAGACTGCTAAATAATTCAAGCTGGAATTTGAGAACTGCTGATCTAGTCTCTTCAAGACTGCTAAATAATTCAAGCTATTATTTAGTATGGCAGAGGTTAAGCACCTGGATTACCTCTGCTCCAGCCACGAGCTGGTTGTGTGAATGACAGAAAGCAGCTAAACTGTCCGAACTCCTCAGGAACAAAACCTGTATGCACAGCAGGTAATGTTTCTTCCCAAGAGAGGTTACCTATTACGGCCTTTTCGTAGGCATTGGTCTTAGCCATGCAGTGACCGTCCTCTGGAACAACTTTTTTTCTTCCCAAGAGAGGTTACCTATTACAGCCTTTTCGTAGGCATTGGTCTGTCCTCTGGAACAACTTTGGTTTTCACTTAAATTTCACGAGGCCTTCCAACACTGACAAATGTTGCTGTTTTTGTAATCACAAACTACTGAAGTTCATCCTACCTGTGAAATATGGGTCAAAATGTATCTCCTTTTGTGTACATCCGCAAGCACCAGATTCTGGATTAGCAAGGCTGTGCTCCTATCAAAGGATGACTCACTTCATCTTTCTGGTCCCCTTTTTTATGCTTCTGATTTGTATTCACAAGACTTTGTGTTAGGCTGTCTCTTGGGAGGTGGGAAAAAGGGGCTGAAACAAGGAAGTTCAGTGGTAGGGAACAAGGGATGATTCTTGGGGATGTGGTTAGAATTACAATAGAAGGGAAAGACTGGCTACAGTGGGGAACCATCTGAAAGCACCTCTCCCTGCTCTGATGATACTGAACGGCTTCTGCTCCAAAGGGAATTTTTCATTTTACAGACCCTGAAAATGAGACTCTTGTGTTCCAGCAGGTGCTCCGGGCTACCTGCTAGGTCGTGGTAATTCCTGGGGTCAGTGCAAAAGGCATATCTTGTAAAGTGCAAGCTTTGCCCCTGGACAGCTGTCAAAGGAGTGCTCGCGCATTCCCGTGGTCCTGTGGCCCGTAGTGATGCCACCTTCTTTTGCCTCACAAGCAGAATTCACAGGGGGTCTGGGGAGTGCCTCTGCTCCCTCCCATCCTTCTCGAGTCTAATGCAGCGTTGCTGCCATCAAGCTTAGGAGAGGAATGCAGCGAAAGAACAAGTTTGGAGCATTCTGTTTGACACAGCTGGGCGAGGTAAAATCTTTTTTACCCCACCCACTTTGTGTCTTTCGTGTCCTAGGACCAACACAGCTACAGCATTGCATGGTTGTACAGACATGGCTCTGTCCAATACGCTTTCCCAGGAGTATGTTGGTGGTTCTCAGTCAAAGGTAAACTCCATTTTAGGCTTTTCTTCACAAGTCTTGCAACTCCATTCAGTTGGGATGTATAGCTAGGCTTCAGCACAGAGCTGCTCCACAGCTTCCAGGGGGCACTAGGTGTGGGATGCCCACTCCTGGTTATTCTTTGCCACCTCCACGTTTCCCCCGTCCACTGGAAATGGAATGTTCTCCTCAGTTCTCATTTCCGCATTTCTCAGGAACCGGATTTCTCTTATTGTAAAGTAGTGGCAATACTTCTGGGGGAGGGAAAGGATTGGCATCTTAAAAAGTAGCTTATGTTCTGTGGACAACTGAAAACTGTTGCTTGTCCCTGTGTCAGCTAATTTGATTGCTCAGTAACCTTACTTCCTGTTGACCTGTCTGCTGCAGTGCAGAACCGTGCATTGTCCACACAGCCATGCCTTAGACATATGCGTTGTTTTGGGATGAAAGATTTGAAAGGAAATGCAAAACAAAATCTGTTACTGCAAGTCAGGGATCTTGAAAGTTTTGTAGCTTATCGCAGCAGTAACTTTGCTTTATGTACATCTGTGACAACCGAATAACTTTGTAAAAATGTGAAAAACCTCTTTTCATGGTCAGGCCCCTAAAAAGGTGAAAGCTTCTGTAAACCCAGCTTTAAAAAACTGAGCAGAGAAAACAATGACATTTGAGCTCAACGTTCAGTTTTTCTGAAAAGTTGTCTGGATGTAGGGGCCCAGTCACAGCTGGGACTCTATTAGTGCAGGCTGTGTGTGTGCTTACATAAGCATCAAATAAAGGCAAATCATGTTGCAAATTGAATTATGGAATTAATTGCAACTCCAATCAGTTGGGCTGCATAGTTAGGGTTCAGTGGAAAGCTCTTGCCTGTCGGCTTCCAGAGGGTGGTAGGTGTGGGATGCAATGTCTGAAGCTGAATGCTGAGGCCTTAATGCCCACTCCTAGTTATTCCTGGCCCCTGGGGTGCACGTTTCCTCTGTCCACCGCAAATGGAATGTGCCCGGGCACTTTTGTGGATGCGGATACCAATTGTGTATCGGTGCAGGGCCATATCTATGAGCAGGGCTCGACAAACCGCGGCGAAATCCACTAGCCAGCTGCGCACACGTCAGACCGCACTGTGCATGCGCGCACCGCCGGTGAATGGGGCGAGTGGCTGAAATCTACTCCCCCCGGGCGAGTATATAAACCGATTTGTCGAGCCCTGTCTATGAGTACAACTTCTGTTTCAACACGTTAAGAATTATACAATATGTTGACATTACTCGTGTGTCTAATTGTATACTTCCTATTGGCAATGGAGCATGAAGAAAAGGATGGCAGCAGATATTGGGGAAGAGAAGTGGCCAATAGCTAATAACACTCAGAGTGAAATAAATGCCCCATAAATAGTGTTCAGAGTGTTTTCACAGTGAGCTTTGCTAGCTGACTTTTTTCAAGACTAGTTTAGCAAAATGTGTGTGTAGTGGTTAGTCTCTCTGAGATTAATAGCTTGGTTAATTTGTATATTTTTATAAAGATACATTTTAAAAAATGGTGTATATACATTAAGGGAGATGATTTTAATCTCTGGACTTGCTGAGCATAGAACACTGTTTCAGGCACAATGGTGCAGAATTTTGTTTATCTGTCTGTGCCTCAGGGGTATACAAACAGTAAAATAATTTTCTGCATTTACAAAAGTGGAGAAACAAGTCAAGAGAACTGGCTTAAATACTATACTGTCAGTTCACCTGACTTTAACCCCAAACCAGGGGCACTGACAGATGTGTGTTGGACACTTAGTCACAGCAGATGTGTCAGAACGTGCATGTTTGTGGTTTAAGTTGGGCAAATGTGCATGCGTACATGTTCGAGGTACCGAGAACATGTGGCCAATAGGTTTTTGTTTCACCCCCATTGTACGGTGTCTGAAGTGTTATCGGAAAGAGCACTGATTGTTGGCTTTTCCTTGGGCCGTACCTTTCTGGAGTATCAGTCTTTGCCAGCTCAATTCATGTCTTGAGAATGACTTCTGTAGTGTCTCCTCAAGAGTTACAGCCCAGTCTGCTCTGTAGTCCCTCGTTCTGGTTAGGGATATTAAATATCGGTTAACTGAATGGTCGATTAACCTCGTGAATTCTTATCGATTACTTGACTACTCTATAGTCCCCGGGCAGCCCCTGTCTGGGGGGGGAGGGGTCTGAGCTCATGGACCCGCATGAGCTGGAACTGAGCCGGGCTGTCTGCCTGCCTGGCTCCTAACACACTTTAAATACAAAGCCACAGCAGGGGTAGGTCCAGGACCCAGTGCAAGCTGGGACTGAGCTGGGCTGCTGGCCAGCCTGCTAAAAAGTGTCCTGGGGATAGGGGGCAGGATGAGGTGGAAATGCGTGTAGTCTGTAGCATTAACCTATAAGCTTTTGCTTATCGGTGAATCAACTACACTGTTGCATCCCTAGTTTTGGTGGGACCTCTGCGCCCCGTCTGAGTGGAAGCTGAACTACGTTGTGGGTAGGTGCTAGTGATGTGCTAATGAACAGCCTTGTGAGAAGCAGTTCTGTCATTAACTAATAGCTCCCTTTTCTCCATTCAGAATACCTTGATTCCAGTAGCCCAGCAGGGGCCAAGGTTTTCAAGGACACTTAACCTTGCGTGTTGTGTGCGGTGGAGCTTGTAATCGTGTGTGAAATGTTCCTGGACCAGTTCTGTCATGTGCTTCGCTTCTTCCATGTTACTTGCTAGAAATCTGACATGGTGCTGCCGCTGCCAGAAAAGTTTGAAACTCTTCAAGGGATGTCACAGGACCACAGCTCTTCTGCTGGTGCTTTAAAACCCAGACACAGCTCCTGCCAACCTTTTCCTTCAGTCTCTTTCTGCTTTTCTAGGTAGAATGGAACCTTAAAACGAAAAGGCTGAGAGATGCTCTTGTGTGCCCAGGACATAAAGGGTCCCTGCACGTCTGCCCTGCCCACCTTTCTTTTAGAGGGCCTTTGGCTGCCTGTTATGAATCCCGTTCCGTTTAGAAACACTGCCAAATACAAACCCATCCCACAGTTACGCATCAGAGCATGGGCTGGGCTATACACCCCCCTCAGTCTTCTGGTCAAGTGAATGGTTCCCCTGGAAGCTCCCTGCAGTGAAGAGCGTGGAGGGGTCTATCTCTCCAGCCGAGGTGCGCGTTAGGGGTGGTACCGACGGTTGGGGAAGCTGTCTAGGGGAGATGAGCCCCCAGGAGAGTTGCTGGTAGACCTGT